GCGGGGCCCTGTAGCTGTCGCCGCCCGCGCTCCCGCGCCGCTCCCCACCTCGCCTGCGCCCGCCCGAGCCGACCGATCTCCGAGCACCGGCCTCCAGCGAGCCGCGCCGCGCGCCGACGGAGCGGACATGGGCAGAGCGATGGTGACCAGGCTGGGGCTGGGGCTGCTGCTCCTGGCACTGCTCTTACCCACGCAGGTGAGGCCCTGGCGGCCTGAGGGGGTCGGGGGCCGCGCCCCCAGGGGCTTGTGGAGTCCCTCCCTGGTGCCAGGCACTGAGTTAAAAATGCCGAGCCAAGGAGGTGGGAAGCCACCAGAACTGGGAGAACTGTGGCTACCTGGCCAGGGGGAAGCTCAGTGCAGCCCCACGTCCGGTCCCGCGCGCGTGGCCCCTCCTCCCCGCGGCGGGCCGCACAAAGAGAGGGCTCGGCCCCGCGGGGCGCGCTGCTCCCGCCGTCCCGCGCCGGCGGGCTGGCCTCTCGATCCAAGGAAGCCGGCTGTGGAGCTCTGGTTCGCACCCCATCCTGGGCCGCTCGGGGCTGAAGCCCAGGCGGCGACCTGGCCCGGATGCTGCGCTCTCGGCCGGCGACCCCTGTCCTCTCCAGATGGACAGGCTCTGGGGCGGCGGCGCGGCGCACGCTTCTGTCCCGTCTGCGCTAGGCTTTGTCCTGGTCCCCGCCACGGCCTCTTCCTTTCCACACCGTCCGTCCCGAGACCCGACCTCGCCCCCAGCGCCCCCAGCGCGGGCACCCGGAGTAGCGCTGCGCTCCGGAGGGTGATGTGCGCGCCCTGAATGGGACCAGGGGCTGCGCCCGGGGACCCGAGTGGGGGTGGGGAAGGAGCCAGTCGCTCGGGCCAGGACGGCGGGAGCACCCGGGTGGCTTTTCACCACCTTGGGCTGGCTTTTACAGCCCCGAAAGTTGGGCGCGCTGGGTCTCGGCCCCAGCCACCCAGCGTCCAGGCTCACCAGGGAGCGCAGCCGAGTGTGGGGCGCTCTCGGGCTTTCCCACAGCGGGCCGCGTAACTGTACCCTATTGTCTGGCTTCGGGTCGCCTGCGCTCCGCGCTCCTGAGCCTTTCTCAATTCCCCTGTGGGGGAAGGGCGGGGCCGCCCGAAAACGAGCTGGTGACCCTCACCCAGGTCCCATGTCGCCTTTCTAAAAGGATTTTTCCCTGAGGTGGGTGGGATTTTTATTTTTAAGAAAGAGGCTTTAATTAAGCTAGTACAACTAGCTTGGTAGAGGTTTTATTTTATTTTGATTTGTTGAACACTAGCAATTTAATGAACATCTTTTTTTGGTGGTGTAGAGGACCCTTAGATTCTCAGATGGATGCTCTGGGTTCTTAAAAAGACGTCACCTGCCGTGCTGAAGCTCTTTGTATGAATTAGAACAAGGATCCCAAACCAGGTCCCCCCAACAGGCGCCCTGGTTTAGTTAATCTGCCATAGTAAAGGTTGCCTTTTAGCGGGAGTGCTATTTCTTAATTGGACGGGATCAGTCTTACAGTCGATGCCCAATAAGTGTATTTGACTGGATCAAGAATTCTGTTGTGGTTAGACTTGTGTAGTCAGTATTTGCTTAATGGCCTTTTGGGTTGTACAACAAAAGGAACTAGTGCTGATGTAGGCGGGCTTTATTTTGGATTAATAGTCAGCCGAATGTACGTGTGGCCCGGACTTGCTTGGTGCCACATCCCCCCTCCCCTCTGTAATTGGAGGCCCTCCTAAACCCTCCCTTGCAGTTCCAGCGATCTGCCTTTGTTCCATGACAAAGGCGAGATTATCACGTGCCCCACTGGACTGTGCATTTGTGGCTCGAAAAATCGTGGTGGATGATGCCACTCAGATGCCAGGACACTAAGAAAACCTTGGTTCTTGGCGACAGCACTGAGCTAGTGACCAGGCAGGAGCCTGCTGCTGCTGAAATTCGACACCAAACCCCCCTGGTGTCTTTTATGTGAAGTCATTCTGAATAGAGGGTGCTTTGAGTGGAATCACTTTGCCTCAAAGCAAGAACTCATTATGTTTTTTCAATTTAAAACAAATACTGTGACCATTTTTGAGAACAGTTATAATTTTAAGATTTCAAAGGAGCGGATAAGATACCCAATGACCCCCTTAAAGGCAAAGGTAAGTTACCCAGGCTGTGTGAAATGAGTCTGTGAAGGTTACCTAGCACATCTAGGATAGATAGGGACCGATTATTTCTAGTATCGTAAGTTACAAGTGTAATATTTTAAAGTCTAAATTTTTAAGGTAACTTTAAAATGTTCCTCTTTCTAGAAAAATAGAGGCAACGTTAAAGCAGTAAGCCCGTATTATCTCAAAAGCTGGATTAGTAAACTTGGCTTTTAATCCCTTTATATAGCATTAAAAATAGTCATACTTTTGGGAGTTAAAGTTGCTGAAAAACTTAGTTTTTATTCTTGTTGCTGCTTGCATTTTTAGATATGTATAGGCAGTTAGTATTTAAACTAACGAGAATAACCTTGGTGGGACTGAGCAGAGATTCAGAATTTAAGGATGTGGGTGGAAGAACAATGGGGGAAGAGCAATCTCTCAAATACCTCAAGGGCCTGGGTGGAAAGCGTGTGGTTAGCATGTACGAGGCTGTGTTCAAGTCGCAGCACTGCAAAAATGAATGCATGAATAGATAAATAATTGCAACCTTTGTTGTAGAGTGTTGTGGAGCTAGAAATTCATGAGAGTAACTTTTTGTGTATTTTAGATTTATTCAAACCAAACCGCTGCCACGCCACCTTCAAGTAACGCCTCCCAGAACACCTCCACTGTCCCAAATCCAACCAATGCCACCACCAAGGCAGGCAGCGGTGCCCTGCAGTCAACAGCCAGTCTCCTTGTGGTCTCAATCTCTCTTCTACATCTGTACTGTTAGAGACTCTGGCCAAGAAACGTCTCTACTTCCCCATCTTGTAAACCCAGTCCACATGGCGACTGCAAGTCCGGTGTGGCGAGGAAGAAATCTAATTCCACACCTTATGTTATTGACGCAGAAAATAATGAGAGTTCCAAATTTGATTCATTCCAAGGACGTGTGAAGGGATTGACAGATGATGAATGCCAATATTAAATCTGCTGGATATTTTTTGGTACAAGATGAAGAGAGAGAACATCCAAGATTGACCATGATTTCTTCGATTATGGCTTAAGAAAAATGGACGCTTAAAACTCTACCTTGAAAACAAGAATAGATTTTATCTAGAAATAAAAGATGGGATGTGGAATGGAGATTCAGTTTTCATTTGGTTCATTAAATCTCTAAGGCCATAAAACAGTTACATAATATAAAAAGCTTCCATATGCTATTTATATGTACATTAGAAGGATCTACCAGGTGTTACTGTAACTCCTCAATGTGTCTCAGCAGTACTAATTTAATGCTGATATCCTCTAGGTAAAATTTTGCATTGTTAAGCTATCACTGTTTTCCTAGGAACTGAACTCTTTTTTTTCTCTGCCCTCTGTGGCTTTGGATTTGACATTACATTTGACTTTGTATGTAGTAATTGACATGTGCCAGGGCAACGGTAGACTGGAATCCATCCCCAAATCCAAGCATCTTGAGTAAATCTTTCCAAAGTGAAATGGTAGACATCCCCCGCCCCCCAAGTTTCACTCAACAAACACACCAGATTCATCTAGCTAAACTGATTCCAAAGAGTAGACTTACATGGACCTCCACTAATTTCAAAATACTGCTTTTTAAATTTCTGTAGATGTTGAATACTTTTCACAACTAAAAACAGTCTGTTTTGCAGATAAAATGAAAAATCTGGAAATGAGGTAGGCAAATAGCAAAGGAGCGAAAACTAAATAAAAGCATTTGGGAAGCGAAGGCTGGAAGCTAACTTGCATTAAATTTGCAAAACCTTTTATACTTTTTCTGTAAATACTTTTTTTAAAAAAAAAAACTGGATCACAATAGCCACCTTTGGAACACGTTCTGTTCTCAGTCCATATTTTTAGGTAGTTAGAACTGGTCCTAAGCCTTGATTTTTGCCATAAGTCTTTTACAACTGTCTTGATACACAGAACCTTTAAAAAAAAAAAAAACACCCTGAACCCTTCGTTCGCATGGTCACACACTGATGCTTACATGTTCCCCAGTGTCTAATAGGACCACAGTAGTCTTGATATAATCCAAGTTATTTCCTGCCCATCTTTAGAAATCTACACGGGAACAACCAGACGAGACTGGTCTGAAGCCGCTGTGTGTGTGAATGAACACTCCCTCTTGCTTCGTATCTGAATGCTGCACATCTGTTTGGATTGTACATTGTGTTTGTGTATTTATGCTTTGATTCATAGTAACTCCTCATGTTATGGAATTGATTTGCATTGAACACAAACTGTAAATAAAGAAATAAATGGCTGAAAGAGCAGTCGGTTGAATTTGAAGTATTTCTGCAGGAGTACTTTGGGTGATGATGGTCTTGTATCTGTTAATTTAAGCCATTACGGGTACACCTCACTGTTAACCTATTAACTGGAAAATGACAGTTGATAGCTGTTGGTCTATTTCTGCCTTGCTGTAGCTAGCAGCAGGTTTTGACCAGAGAATGTTATCCAAAGTCAGCAGCTTTAAGATAGTTCCTCACTTAACAACTATTTGCTGTATGCCAGTGACATGCTGGGTGCTGATGACTGAATGCTGAACTACTAGATAAAGGCTCCTAGTTGAGGAAGTGTGTGATGAATAATCCCTGGAGTGTCTCATAGTACCCCGGGGGAAACACTGGGCTGCTAAGAGTGGCCCATGGGTTGAGAGAATGAGTGGTTTGGGGCATTGGAATGGACATCTGGAATACCGAACAGTTGTAAGAAGATCAGAGGAGTCAGGCATGGCGGCGCATGTCTGTAGTCCCAGCACTTGGGAGGCTGAGACAGGAGGGTGGATCACTGCAAGTTCAAAGGTTGGCCCGAACTACATAGTAAGACCCTGTTGGAAAAAAAAAAAAAAAAATCAGAAGAGAATTCCTACTGGAAAGAATGGCATGTGTCAAGTCTTCTAGTCAGAACCACTTTCTATACCTGCCCTGAGATCCACAAGTCACCTTTGTTTCCTAAATTGTCGCTCCCATCTGCTCCTTTTACACCCCTGAGTTCCTTTAACATGTCGGGTGTTCCAAGGACTCCTAGCGTCTTCGTTGTGGTCTGCAGCCATCAGGAAAGACAGGGTGGAACTTGGGATAGTGGGATCTCAGACCTTGGGTGGAATTCCTTCCCCAAGGAACCTCATTTGAGCTAAGGGCTTTCAATTGGTGGAGCTGGACCCCTCTAGATTATCCAGGACAGTCTCATAGTAATCACATCTGCAAAGTACTTCATGGCAATGCAAAGTATGAGGTTAGTGTCTGGTTTAGTAACTGAGGACTAACTACCCTGACACACGAACTGTCATAGTCCACCCTTTGTCAGTTTGACATCTGAGCATCTCTCTGTGTCCCTCTCACTTACTAGGCAAGTACTCTACCACTTACTACATCCTTAAGCCTTTTTAAAAATTGTATTTAAAAAGATGGGTGTGGTGGCACATGCCTGTAATCCTAGCACACGGGAGGCTGAGGCAGGAGGATTGCTATGAGTTCAAGGCCAGCCTGAACTACGTAGCAAGACCCTGTGTCAAAAAACAAAACAAAAACAAAGGAAACCCCCGCCCAAAAAGAAATTATTTGAGACAAGAGTCTCACTAAGTTGCTTGGGCTGGCCTCAGGATTCCTGAGTAGCTAGGACTGCAGGTGTTTGTCACTGCACCAGGCTTTCCTAGTAAAGGCAATAACAAGATCATGCTTCTCCTAATATGATACAGTTGTATTTCATCCGATCAAAACCACTTTGCCCCAGAAGAGAATGCAGACTCTTTGGGTTGTGTTCACTAGTTTTGATATCCTGCAGCTTGTGAAGGTAAGTCGACCATTACTAAATATTACCAATATGTCTTAGTTTAGATGATAAGAAATAAGAGGGGAGAAAACAAATTCTGGATTCTAACACTGGTCATGTGGCTGTAGCTGGTATTCACAGCTGCCTTCTTCCATTACCAAGCCCGTATTTCTTTTGCTGTCACTCAGCGTCTTAGCAGGTTGTGGCTCTGAGCCGGACAGGGTCACCCAAACCTTTTCCTCAATTTTGTTGTAGTCTGTTACCAACCTTAATGACAGGATGTGGTTATAGTAAGAGAGAATTTGAAGCACTCAGCCTCCGTTGTATAGTAGTAGCTCAACTTTTCTTTGGTAATCAGGACTAATAATTCCACACACACAGTGCGGTAACTCCCTTCTCTGTCCTATGATGCAGCGGCTTGAGAGCCCCACGTGGCTGGGTGACATCTCAGCTTCTAGTTCAAGGGGATCACTGTTGTGTCTCCCGCAGGAAACATCCTTTCCTGGGCACCTCCAGACAAACAGAGCATAACACCTCCAGCAGGAAGCAGGAGTTACGCTAGTGATTCGCTAAGGGCAGTCGTGACTGATGCCACTTCCATATTCACTCTTGATTCCTGGACCAGCTATGGGAGAGATGGCACCATAGTTAGAAATACCCCACCCTCGTCCTTCAAGGCATTGATTCTAACTGGTGCTACTTGAGGTTGGTTTTTTGTGTTTTTTGTTTTTGTCTTTTTGAGATGAGGTTTCACTATGTAGTTCAGGCTGGCCTCGAACTCTGCAGTGATCCTCCTGCCTCAGCCTTCCAAGTGCTGGGAGTACAGGTGTGCACCACCATGCCTGGCCTAAATTTTCAAAACATCATCCCTCTCTTCTATTATGCCAGTGGCTTCAGGATTATAGGGAACATGGCAAGATCAGTTGGCCATGGGTCCATTGTCCCATCATTGGCTGTGAAGTGGGCTCCTTGGTCAGAAGCAATGCTGATCATGTTGACTACTATGATAATAAAGGAAGGATGTTAGTTGTGTCCGAAGGATTGCATGCAGGGAAGGCAAATGCCAGAAAAAGAACAAAATGCTGCCCTTTTACAATGGAAGTGATTCAATGTAATCAACATTTCACCTGGTAGCTGGCTGTCACCCCCATGGAATGGTACCTTTTAGGGGACTGAGTATTGCTCTGCTATAGCACTGGGGTAGTGGCTGTAATAGCTGGTGAATGTAGGTCCATTTTGCTGGGCCTCCTATAAACCATGGCCACTTTGTTTATGGGCCTACTAGCAATAGGGAGGCCAGAGAAAGTGGTGAACTCTACAAAGTGAGTCATCCTACCTGCTTGATGACTAAAATTCTTCCCTACTTGGGCTCATCTCTTGGTGAGGAGTCACGTGGGGCACAAATATCACATTCTTTGTCCATATCCGTCTATTCAAATATCTCTTCCTTGGGCCTTCTTGTCACCAGTTTTCTTATCATGTTCTTCTGAGTCCATCTAGCCAAATCACTAGCCACAGCCCACGAATCAGCGTTGACTCATACCGCCGGCCATTTTGCCTTCCAGCGCATCGTTTGAGTGTCCACACTTATTAGTCATATAATTTGTGGCTACATTAAATAATGAATAATCACTGTATGAGTGTCTCTCCACCTAAATTTAGTATTAGTAGATAAAAGCAAACAGCATAGAGACAAGAAGTTAGTTGAAGCTCTGTGCCGTAAAGTTAAAAGCAGAAAAAAATATATTTAGAGCTAAACATATTCTAAACACACACACCCAAATGCCACCACTGCCCTTAAAATAGAACTCAAATATTTAGGTGGCTGAAAAGTATGTGTTTTTCAGTTTTTCTAGACCTCACTTGAGATTAGCTTGGTTATTTTTGGATGCCTTATTCAGTATAAAGAGAGTGTTTTTCCCTCTTCATTTTTGGAACAACAAAATCACCATCCTGGGTTGCTTCTCTTTAAATTACATCTAAATTCTAAAACCAATGCATTTCTGAGAAACTTGAGGAAGTTCCATATTTATGATTTTGCAGAGAAATATCTCCGGGAGCCCAGAGGGGCTGAAGCGGCTTAGCTGTCATGCCGCCTCGCAGCTGGCATTGAGGCAGGTGTGTGGGGAGCGAGCACATCCAGAACTAAACTCATTACCTTCCCTCTGCAGACCTCCCGCCTCTCTCCTCAGAGCACCGCCTGCCAAGCCTCCCTCAGTATAAGCAGGGAGCTGCCTTCCCCTTCTCCCCCCAGCTCCATTCAGTCAGGAAGTCCTGTCATTTCCGAGTCCGAGGTGTCGGCATGCTACCCGTCTTCTCTGTCCACGCCACCGCCTTCCTCTGACTTGCGTCAGCTCTCAGAACTGCACCTTTCTGCCCATCTGTCCTGCCTGGTCTTATTCTCACCTTTATCATTTAAAATGTAGATCTGCTCATTTTGCTCTACGGTTTAAAACTTTGGCTGGCTATGCTTTGTCTGCTAGAGTATAAACGAGAAATCCCCACTCAAGGGGCGTTAGACCTTTAACAATCTGGCCCTAATCCAAGTTTTCAGCCCATCACTGGGTTGCTGGATGACTCTGACTTTTAACATCTCCCCCCAACCCTGCCTCATAGACTCAATGAGCAGTGAAATGTGTGGATAGTAAAGCCAGGGTGCCTCAGTTGGATTCCCAGTCCGGCCACTAGCTCCTGGATCCTAGGCAATGGCAAAAATCCTCTGTGCGCCTGGAGTCTTGTGTGTAAAAGAAGCTTGATAGTAAAAGGACCTATCACATAAGGTGCCCGGAAAAAAAAAAAAAATTAAAAAATAAAAAAATAAACCATCTGGGGCTGGGGATTTAGCTCAGCGGCAAAGCGCCTGCCTGGCAAGCGCAAGGTCGAGAGTTCGGTTCCCGGTACCGGAGAAAAACCAAAAAAAAAAAAATAAATAAAAAAAAAAAACATAAGGTGCCCGGGAGAATTAAATGCGTTGATACACAAAGCCCTAGTTTGGCCCATTGCAAAAGTACCTGATAAACACTGACCAACATTATTTTCTATTAAGATATAAAAGTGCATTGATCTGTCTGTGAGCTCCTCGAAGGGAAGAACTGTGTCCAAATCATTTCTGGCTTCCTGTTGTGGGTGACAGAGAGTAGGTGCTCAATTAATGTTGAGTAAATAAGATCGGCAGCAGTAACGCTTTAGTTCTGCAGGGTAACTGGGGGAGGGTCAGACCTTTGCTACCATATTAGGTCTTGGGGGGAAGTATGGGGGGTGCTCGGGACTATTTCTAAACAGGCTGCTCAGTTCTCATTAGATAGGCAGCTTCCTTATCTATCTATAGCAGTGGTGCTCACCTCCAACTGAATTTTAGAATCACCTGGGAACTATTTTAAAAATAGTCTTGCCTGCGACTTCTACCTACCTGGGAGATTGTGATTTAATTGGTCTTAGTAGAGCTCAGCCATCGTAGTTTTTTAAAGCTCCCTAGATGATTTTAAAGTACAGCCAAGTG